AGAAGCCCCCGTGCTCCACCGCAGAAGCCAAAGGGAAGGGAGTGTGTCCTCCCGTCCCTTCTGGAGGCAGGTATAGGGCTGGCAGAACTGCAGAGTTCTCACTCCCCCACGCAGGTTCCCAGCAAGGCCCTGGCCAACACCTGCTCAGGGCGCACCAACCATATTTCTCCAAACACTGCCTTTGCCGGACCCTCCGACAGTCTTTTCGCCAGACGTTACCTTCTGAAATTGGGGTGTTCTACACGCTTCATGGAATGTGTCTTCCCTCCCTGGTGAAGAGCTGTGGCCATGGTGATGGCGTGTCACTGAGAAAATGCTGTCGTGGTCTTTTCCCACAGTTAGCAGTTCCTTAGTTTGTAAAGTAGGAAAAGGCAGTTCTGTCTGAGCCCCAACCCAGGTCCTGGGGCTGCCTCCTAGAATGTAATGGCTCTGCTCTTAGACAGTGGCTGGCTGTGTCAGCGAACCCCCTTTTCTCATGCATGTCTCATTCATTGATTCATCCCTTCTTTGCACAGATACCTACCAAGTACCTACCATGGACCAATGAGGAGGTGGTGGAAGGGGTCGGGCTGGGACAGTGCTGACCTGGCCTGGGGAGGGGCAGGAAGGATGAGAGAAGTGGACAGACTGGAGGGGTGCACGCGTGGCACAGGACACCAGGGCGTGCGTGCCCACAGTGAGACAGAGCAGCTCCTCATGGGGACGGAATCTCCACAGACACCCCGCCACGGATGTAGAGCCGGGCCAGGTGCATCGCCACGCCCGGCTCTGAGGACCCCCTGGCTCCCCAGCGCCCGCAGCTGTGTATGACGGTCCCCCAGCCTTCTCCACCGCCTGCCCTGGCCACCCGGGGACACGGGGCTTTGGGAGCCCGAGGGAACCACGTCCAGTCCGCCGCGGGCATGAACCACGTGCGGGCCCCACGGCAGCCTCCACGGTGTTTTCCTTGGAGAGACGTCTCCTTTCCCTCCGCCACAGGCTGGGGTCTTGAAAACCGCTGACGGAGCGTCCTCTCGTTCCTGCTGGAGGCTTGGGCTGTGTCCGTTTGACGCGGCTCCGTCTCCCCTCCCCCCTCCCCCCAGCCCCCACACTGACTCACTTCCTCCCAGGTTTCCAGTCCTCCTCACCCTGAGTGCTGCTTCCTTTTATCGTGTTGGAAGAGGCGCGTGGGATTTCTGGTTTCCAAGGACGGCGTCTGTGGTCGGACGTGGCGGGGCGTGCCTCTGTTCCTGCCGCTGCAGACAGCCTGGGGCTGGGGCCCCCAGGGAGGGGACGGGGTCCCCGGGGAGGGGCTGGTCTGTCGTAAAGCCTGTGGCTGCCGATGTGACAGTCCCCTGGATAGAAGCAGCGTGTGGCCTGTGAACCTGGACACACTGAGAGCAAAAGCAGAAGAGCTCCCAGGCCTCTGATCGCCCGTCCTTGCGAGCAGCGGGCCCCATTGGTTGGATGATACAGAAAATGAGGTGAGACCGGGTCTGGCGAACAGAGAGAATAAATGTCAGAGTCCAGCCCAGCGTGTTCACCACGATTAGCACAGGAGGCTAAATGGATGCAGGTGTAAAGTCATCAAAATTACGTGAAATTAACAGTTGAGTGCCTCAGCGGCAGGAGCCACATTTCACGTGCTCAGTAGCCCCTGGGGCCTGGTGGTCCCGTCAGGGACAGCGGAGGTAGGACGTGTCCATCGCGACAGCCAGTCCTATGGGACAGCCCAGCGCCGGCCACCGGGGGGCTCGGATAGCTGAGTGTTGCCAATCATAACATGCAGGCTTCTCGTGGAATGTTATTCGGCCTTAAAAGGGAAGCACATTCCAACACGTGATACAACGTGGATGAACCTTGGAGACACGCCAAGTCACAAAGACCAAACCCTGGGGGATCCCACTCACTCGCGACCGAGAATAGATGCTGGAGACAGAGTGGAAGGGTGGCTGCCCGGGGCTGGGTTTCACGGATAGAGAGCTTCAGTGTGGAGTGAGGAAGAGGTTCGGAGGTGACGGTGCTGATGGCTGCGTAACAACGTGAATGTACGTAACACCACTTACCACGTAAGATGGTTGAGGGCATGAACTTTATGTTTTGGATACTTAACAGTACAAAACCCACCCAGCCTCACAAACGACTCAAACTTGTTCCCAAATGACTTTCCGAAGAAGAAATCTATTCTGCACAATACACAGTACGGAGGATGTGTTACAGAATTGTCCACCTGAAACGGAAATCATTTTATTAACCAATGTCAGCCCAATACATTCAATTAGAAAACACAGATTTCTTATGGGCAGAGCACAAGGCGATTTCTCCTTGAGCCCCTAGGACAGTGGTCAGCAAACTCATTCGTCAACAGAGCCAAATATCAACAGGACAATGACTGAAATTTCTTTTGAGAGCCAAATTTTTTAAACTTAAACTATATAGGTAGGTACAATGTTATTAACTTAATTAGGGGACTCCTAAGCTGGCCTTTGCTAAAAATATCCTCAATCTGATTGAGGTACGTTCGCTGAGGTCGCCCCCTTCCAACTCTCCCATCCACACCCATCTTGTATACTTGTTTTGTCTATGTCCTTTCTGAAAACCGACTTCTGCGCATGGGCCACGAAGTTCCAATCGCACTGTACGTGCGCACCCGCACGTGGCATTTTGTGGAAGAGCCACACTCAAGGGGCCAAAGAGCCGCATGTGGCTTGCGAGCCGTAGTTTGCTGACCACTGCCCTAGGATGTCCCGGAGAGCTCCCCCCAGCATTCACTGCCACAGCACCCTGCCAGCGGGCTGTGCCTCGCTCTCCGGATGGGATCCGGCCAAGGACACGCTGGCATGAGGAGGCACCGGGTGAAGCTCAGGGCTGTCTGGCTCCCGGGGTAGAATCGCTGTGGTTAGACGCTGCAGCATTAACCCAGATCTGCTGCCTCAAATTAACAAGTAACCCTTCTGCGCTTCGGGCCACACTTCTGTGGGGAAAAGCAAGTCAGGACAAGGCGTGAGAGTCCTAGTGCACTTTCATGGTGCTCCATGTTGGCAAACATCGTCTTCAGTAAAATTAAGAAGGGAAAAGAAGATAGTGTTAGACAAATCCTCCAAACACTCCAGCAGAGACCAGTTTATCACCCTGCTGCTCACCTGTGTGTGGAATAGTGAACGTTCCTTATTTCAAGCCAATTTTTCCTGTTCACGTGACTCCAAAACTGTTTAAGAGCGTGGTCCCGGGGAAAGAGAAGGGCATTTAGATCAAGGTACTTGAACTAGCCAGATTCCCACTGGGCCGTGTGACCTGAGGCAGTTCACTGTCCCTCTCTGCTCCCCAGTCTCCCCATCTGTGACATGGGGATCATACATTTATTTCACAGGGTTATGAAGGTCAGAGAGAGCCATGTGTAGGAGAAGGCTTGTTAACAGCTGCCAGTCAGATGTCAGTAGGTATTGCTCATTATTATTCAAGACTAGAGGCCCGGTGCATGAAAATTTTTGCATTGGGGGTGGGGAAGGGGGGTGCTCCCCTGGGAATCAGACCTAAGCTGGCAGTCAGACATTACTCTGGCAGCCCAGGGGGAGCGGGCCTAAGCTGTTAGTTGGACATCCTTAGCACTGCCACCACTGCTGTGCTGGCCAGCCATGAGCCAGCTTCTGACTGAGCAGTACTCCCGCTGTGGAAGCACGCTGACCACCAGGGGTCAGCTCCTGCATTGAGCGTCTGCCTCCTGGTGGTCAGTACTCACCATAGCGACTGGTTGTTCTGCTGTTAGGGTCAATTTGCATATTACCCTTTTATTATATAGGATTAGTAATACAAATGTTATTAATCAGGGGTACTTGGCAAACATCTCCTAAAGCTGCCCCCCCACCCAATTTTACTCAGTTGCATTCATTGCTTTAGTCGGTTTTTATTGAGTGCCCAGTAGGTGCTGGTGTTGAAAAGTCAGGTCGGGTTAGGATATGCTGCTATGATAAACAGCCTCACTGTGCAATAACAGTAAAAAATGTTTATTTCTCACTTGGGCTACATGTCCATCAAAGGTTGTTGGGACCCTCCAGGACCCGCACAGGCAGAGAAGCCACTGTCTGGAGTGTGGCCAGTCACCAGGGCAGAAGGAAGTGGACAGTGGTAAATCACGCACCATTCACGGCTCTTCCGCCCCGAGTGACACCTGTCTCGGCTGCTCACATTTACTTGACGACTTCCCACCTCAAGGGGGTGGGGACGTTCACATCTGCCAGGTGCCCAGGAGAAGGAGGACCAGGTACCTGATGGCAGCGCTAATGACCCCACAGCCCAGCTTTAACCTAGAAGTCACCCTGCAAGTTGGTGTCACTTCCCCGGGACCCCGAGCAGTGATCTCGGTGATTTTGTAGATCAGATCAGATCTTTCCCGTTCATTCCTTCAAAGGTCAGAGAGGCGGCTCTTGTGCTCTGAGAGGTTTTTGTTTCGGGACCTCTGTTTCTGTTCCTCCTCTGTCCCACGGCAGCCCACGCCTTCCTCTCGCCGTGCTTCCGACACCACCCTGTAATGGTCCATTTCCTCTTCAGCCGCCTCTCTAATTGCTATACGCCCCGGGCCAGCAGCGCCGAGCACAGAGCTGTCTGTAGAGCCAACCTGGGGAACTCTCAGTGGGGCGGTGGGCGGTGTCATGATTGGGTCTCAGTGGCTTGGTCCTTAACACCACCCAGCAATTCTTAGGAAACAGGGTGGCCCGCCGTCCATGGACTTCCGGTGGCCCCGGGGGTGTTGTCACATTTCAGGTGCTGTGGCTGGAGACCCCTGGGAGAACCTGGAGTGGCCACGCCCAGCTCTGAGCCTTCACAGGTCGGGCAGCTGTGGGCGTGAGGAATGGCTTCGTGGAAACCCTCGGTCCCCTTGACACAGACTTACCCCGTTAGTGTGGGCCTCTGAGAAGCTGAGCAGAGCGAGCTTTAGGATGTCCAGTCTCACGTGTCAGGTAATTCCTTCAAATGTCAGAGGTGCGCGCATCATATTTTTTGGTATTTTTCTCCCTTGACAGATGCAGATGTTGGACAAGTTTCCCATGGAAGGAGGACAGAAGGACCCCAAGCAGCGGATCATCCCCTTCCTGCCAGGTGGGTGAGGCGCAAACCCTGAGACGGGCTGGGGGGGGTCCAGCGTTGCTCCCGGATCTCTCGGCGTGTCCTCCTTGGGGCACTGTCCCAGTGACCAGACACCTCACCTCTGGGAGCCTCAGTTTCTCCTACCTCTAAAATGGGAATAATGAAGCGCGTGAAGTTTTAAAACGAGTGGCATCTCTTATGGCTACTGTGTCATTTTTCTGTTGTTCCTTAACAAATTGCCACCAATTTAGCAGCTTAAAACGGCACCCACTCATTGTCTCACAGTTCTTTCGGTCGGAGGTTGCAGAGGCCTCCGCTGGGTACTCTGTTTTAGGGTCTCACAAGGCAAAATCAAGGTCTTGTCCGGGCCCAGGTCTTACCTGGAGGATCGGGGGGCAGAGTTCAGTTCCTGCCGCTCCAGGACTGAGGTGCCCGTGTCCTTGCTCGTGTCAGCCAGGCTGCCTGCATCCCCGTTCTGTGGCCCCTCCATCCTCAGGCCAGCAGTGAGGCATCGAGTCTTTCTTGGGCTTTAAATGTCTCCGACTGCCCCGGCTGCTCCCGCAGTGGGAGCTGCCTGCTTTGAGGGACTCATGTGATTGCGTCGTCCCCACCTGACTGACGCAGGATAATCTTGTAAAGAAACGGTGGCCTGTAGAGATCCCATCGTAGTCACAGGCTCAGGGGTCAGGTGGGCCATCTTGGGAGGAGGGGAGCATTATAGAAATTCCACCTGCCTACCCATCACAGACTTTCTGATGCCAGGTACCACTCCAGGCACTGGGGAGGCGTTAATGTAATAAAGGCATGCATGTCCCTTTCCTCCTGAAAAAATTCCTTACCAAAGGAGTAGCCTCAGGCCTCAGCTCAGAAAGTAGGGTATATCCCTCGCTGGTGTGGCTCAGTGGATAGAGCGTCGGCCTGCGGACTGAAGGGTCTCGGGTTCGATTCCGGACAGGGGCACGTACCTCGGTTGCAGGCTCCTCCCTGGCCCTGGTCGGGACACGTGCAGGAGGCAACCAATCGATGTGCCTCTCTCACATGGATGTTTCTCTCTGTCTTTCCTTCTCTCTTCCACTCTCTCTCACAATCAGTGGGAAATGCCCTCGGGTGAGGATTAACAAAAGAAAAGAAAGTGGGTTACACCCAAGCCAGTGTTATTGTCTCAGTAGCTACTCCTGGTTGGATGTCTGCTGTGCCAGGCGCTGGGCTAAGCACTTTACATTCATTACTTCATTTCGTCCTCAGAGCAACCTGGCAGGGTGGGCACTGTGTGCCCTTTCTCAGCTGCACACACCGAGGCTCCGCCCCTCTGTTATCTCGGTGAACTACCTCAGCACACGAAGTTCCATTTCTTCCTTTGCACATGGAGATAATCATGGCACTCCAATAACAGAGCTGTCACGAGGGTGAGGTGCGAGCCTGGCACAGACCTGGCAGCAGTCGGCACTCACCGTCATTTTTATGTACAGACCTTCAGCGAGTTGACACCACCCGAAATCACACGTACTTCGAGCTGAAGGGACCCTTCCGATCTTCCTCGTTGCAGAAGAGGGGGCAGGCCACACAGTGGGGGAGACTCCCGGGTCACCCAGGCGCCCAGCTCCGCCCCCCCCCCCAGGGTCCTGCCGTGGGCACAGGAGTGGGTTCTCCCAGATGCCGTCATGTCCAGTGGGCTTAGAGGCTGAGCAGAGGCATTTGCCAGACCCCGTCCACTGGGAGGATCACGTGCCTAGAACAGCGAATGTTTTCGTTCCTCCGTGGGGAGAGAGTGCAATCACACTGGAATTTTCTTTCCTATTGGAGAAAACGCGGAGTGCCAGCCGCAGCAGCCAAGAGTCCGGGTTCCAGCCCTGTGACAGGCGGACGACACCCACCCCGTCCCCGCTGGGCCTCCGGGTCCCCATCCATAAAACGGGGCGTGCCCCCTGCCTCACAGCTTCTCTCCCGGACACAGTAGGCTCTCAGTAAAGGCAGAAACAGGGTCCTGTGACATTCCTTCGGAATTTCTTGGTATTTCTTATCTTGGAGGCGTTACTTTTAAATGCTCAGCCTGAACACTCAAGTTGAACTGGGCTCTGAAATGTAGGTTTTTCTCGCCCCAGCCAGTGTGGCTCAGTGGAGAGAGCGTTGGCCCGTGGACTGAAGGATCCCAGGTTCCATTCCAGTCAAGGGCACGTGTCTTGGTTGCAGGCTCGGTCCCCAGCCCTGGTCCGGCGCATGCAGGAGGCAGCCAGTCGATGTGTCTCTCACACTGATGTTTCTCTCTCTCTGTCTCTCCCCCTCCCTTCCACTCTCTCTCTAAATATCAATGGAAAAATATCCTCGGGTGAGGATTAACAACAACAAAAAATTAAATGTAGGTTTCTCTCCAGAGCAGTGAGTTATACGTCTTACTGTCGGATGAAAGGCAAAACCAGCTCCGGAAAAGCTTCCCAGGACGGGGGAGAACGTGAGCCCACCCTCCCCCAAGCACTGAAAGCTTTCGTGCTTACGTAATCCTCTTCCACCCACGAATTCATGAAAATGCTGCTCTCAGGGCCTCGGCCCCGTGTCCCCGCTCACGGCACCCACTGCAGCTTGGAGAGGTCCCGCTGGGCCCCAGGACGCCAGGGGCATCCCTTCCCAGGCCACCTCTTCGCTTTTCCTCGACGCCCGCCCGCCGGGGTGGGGCAGGGACCTGTGGGAGCGGCGGCCCCTCTCCAGGGGTCACTTTCTGCCAAGCTGGCCACGTCAGCACAACAAAGCAAGTCTCCCGTGAGCACAAAGGCAGGGGGAGGGGGGCCGCCCTGTTCAGTCCTCCTCCCCGGCCGGAGCTGGGCCGGCCAACTTGGCAGAGGACGCAGCTTGAAAATTAAAAATTACAGTCTGGCCTGCTCCGCCGCGGAAAACAAAAGGCTGTTCTCTGCCCCAGCACCCCGTCCGCCCCGGGCGGGCTGGCCTGCAGCGAGGGAGGGGTGCACGTTCGCCCTCTTCCCGGTGACTCAGCCCAGAAACACGTCACATCAGATGCAGACGAGGGGTCAGGCGCCCTCAGCCTTTCACCCGGGAGGTACCAGCCACAGACGTGCTGGTCACAGCCCTGACCTGCGCCCGGCCCAAGCAGGAACTCCAGCTCTGCTGCCCATCCATGGCGACTTAGCTGGCGGGTGGCAGGTCTCAAGAAACAGAGCTGGGGCCCTAGCCTGTTTGGCTCAGTGGGTAGCGCATCGACCTGCGGACTGAAGAGTCCCAGGTTAGATTCCAGTCAAGGGCACATACCTAGGTTGCAGGCTCCATCCCTGGCCCTGGTCAGGGCTCATGCGGGAGGCAACCAATCCATGGGTCTCTTCTCAGATCAATGTTTCTCTCTGTGTGTCTCTCCCCCTCCCTTCCACTCTCTTTAAAAATCAATGGGAAAATATCCTCAGGTGAGGATTAGCAGAAAAACAAAACAAAACAAGAAAACAGAAGAAAAGAAACAGCTGGGTGCAGAGTGTAATGCAGTAGCACCTAAAACAGTGGTTCTCAACCTTGGCTGCACATTAGAATCACCTGGGAATCTTTTTAAAATCCTGATTTCTGGGCCTCCTCCTCCAGAAATTCTGTTTGTTATGGGGTGGGGCCACAACATTAGTAACAAAGAAACAGAATTTTCCAACAACTTATATTTTTGATATTTATTCTATATATTTAGATGCCATTTAACAAAGAAAAATCAACCAAAAAAATGAATTCGCGTGTCACCTCTGACACGCGTGTCATAGGTTCGCCATCACGGCGCTAAGCCCTGCGCTGGGTTGTAATGGAGATTGTCACTGTGAAGAGATGTGGCTACCCATTTCCCAGGGCAGCACGATTGGCACAGACTCCCCATCTCCCTCGCTGGCCACACACCTGACATGTGCCCAGAGACTCCTGTCCCACGGCCGCTGCACAGGGAGAGGAGTGAGGCCTCTGTCATTGTGTCACACACACCCCCTCCCGGGGACACTGGCGGAGCCTGCGCCTGTCCTTAGCTGTCAGCCCACGGTGAGGACACAAAGTCGGTCCCTATTGGTGCAGAGCCCACGCCTGCTGGGGAAGAAGACGTAAATCAATAGCGTGATGTGTGCCGTCAGAAATGACAGGAGCTCTCAATCCGGTGAAGTGGCCCTGAGTTTCCCCCCGGGGATGGTGGGTGAGGTTGGAATTTCCAGGCAGAGGGAAGGGGCAGAATCATGAGACAGCGTGGTGTGCTGGGCATGTAGACGAGAGCAGAAAGAAGGTGGAGGAGGCAGGAGGAGGAAGGGAGCCTGAGCTGTTGGGTTAGGGCTTAGCTGCGGTTCGCTGCACTGCCCAGGCAGCCTGAGAATCCCAGCGCTGGACAGAGGACCTCAGGCCCTCCGGTCTTCCTTCTCCACCGGGCAGGAGCACCTTCCTTCCACGGATTGGTCCCTGCCTCCTTTAACTCATCAGAACATTCCACCGGGCCCCCCTCCCCCAGCCTTTGCACTAGAACTGTGAGCCGGGCTTTGGGGGACCACGCCTGGGGTCATCAGGCCCCAGGGGGCAGTGATGATAGCCAGGGGTTTGGGTACCACTCTGGCCTACCAGAGGCATGCACCTCACACCCTCCAGTTTGCCGCGAGCTGGTCGCCGCTCCCTGCCAATGCCATGTGTGCTCTCATTCTCTGCAGGCAAAATCCTCTTCCGACGAAGCCACATCCGGGACGTGGCCGTCAAACGCCTGATACCAATCGATGAATACTGCAAGGTAAGCCCGAGAGCTGCCAACTTCCCCTGCCTGCGTCTGCCCTATGGGCAGGTTTTTTTCTTTTCCTTTCCTGGCTATAAGCTGCTTATTATGAAAATCTGTACAGTTGAAAGGAATGTAAAGAAATTAGAAAAAAACAGCCATCCGTGATCTTTCAACTCAGAGGCAACAAGGATGAAGGTTTGTCCATATTTTCAGAGCACATGCCCAGGTTATAGCCTTGATTCCCAGTAGGGGGTGTGCAGGAGGCAGCTAATCATTGATTCTCTCTCATCATGGATGTTTCTATCCCTTTCTCCCTCTCCCTTCCTCTCTCTGAAATCAATAAAAACATATTTTTAAAAAAAGAAAATAATTCCACTCACAGTAACATAGAAAAGAATAAGCTACTTAGGAATAAATTAACAGAAGAAGTTCGAGGTTTGTGCACTGAAATTATAGAACATTGCTGAGCAGAAGCAGCTCTGAGTGAATGGAGAGACGTGCCATATTAGGGAATAGAAGCCTCAGTAGTGTTAAAATGGCAATTCTCCCCTATTGCTCTACAGAGTCAATACAATCTCCGTAAAAAATCATAGTAGATGTTTTTTGTAGAAATTAACAAATTGATCCTAAAGTGTATGGGGAAATGCAGGGGACCCAACACAGCAAAAACAGTTTTGAAAAAGAGCAAGCCCAGCTGGCGTGACTCAGTGGTTGAGTGTCGACCTATGAACCAGGAGGTCACAGTTTGATTCCTGGTCAGGGCACATGCCCGGGTTGTGGGCTCAACCCCCAGTGTGGGGCGTGCAGGAGGCAGCCCATCAATGATTCTCTCTCATCGTTGATGTTTCTATCTCTCCCTCTCTCTTCCTCTCTGAAATCAATAAAAATATATGTTTTTTAAAAAGTAAGAACGAAATTGGAGGCCTAAACTTCCTACAAAGCTGCAGTAATCGAGACTGTGGTGCTGTCAGGAGGGTCGGCATACAGTCACTGGAACAGAATTGAGAGTCTAAATTCTTGCGAATTTATAGGCAACTGGTTTGCAGCAAAGGCACCATGAAATTCAATAGGAAAGAATAATCTTTTTAACAGTGTGGGTTAATGCGATATCCATATGCAAAAAAGCAGGAAGTTGGACCCTTACCTCACATCATGCAGACAGCATCAACTCACAGTGGATCACAGACCTAAACATAAGAGCGAAAACTATAAAACTTCTGGAAGGAAACAGGAGAAAACCTTCGTGACCTTAGTTTAGGCAAAGAGTTCTTAGATGTGACAGCAAAAGACAAAAATGGATAAATTTACAAACTTCTGTACTTCAGTGCCATGAAGCAAATGAGATGTGCCACAAGTTAGGAGAAAATGTTTACAAATCCTATTATCTGATAAGGGACTTGTATTGAGACGAGATAAGGAACTCTTGCAACTCCTAATAAAAAGACAACCCAGCTTATAAATGGACAAAAGCCTTGAATAGAAGGAAGCTATCCAGTGGTTAATAAGCACGAGAAAAGGGGTTCCGCATCATTAGTCATTCGGGCAACACAAAATAAAACCATAGGAAATACCTGCACAGCCACTAGATGGGCCGTAATCAGCAAGACAGACAAGACCAGGAGTGACTGAGGCGCAGAAACTGGAGCCTTCGTTCTGTGGGAAGCCACTTTGAAAAACAGCTTGTCAGTTTCTTCAGAAGGGAAATTTATCACATGACCCCCCCTAGGTGTATCCTCCAGAGAATGAAAAACTTATATCCCCAAGGAGACTTGGATGCAAATGTTCCTAGCAGTATTAATCCCTGATAACCCACAACTGGATGCAATCCAAATGTCCATCATTAGGTGACTAGATAAAACGCAGTGAAATACAGATCAAATGTTGCAAAGTGGGTGAGTCTCAAAAAACATGACGCTCAGTGGGAAAAGCCTAAATGTGGAAGAGTGCAGAGTGTATGACTTCATTCGTGTGAAATGTGCAGAGAAGGCAAAATGGGGGAGACGAGAGAGCCGATCGGTGGTTTCCTGGGCTGGGCGGTAGAAGTGGAGACCCGTTGCGAATGAGGTTGAGGGAAGTTTTTGAGGTGATGGGAGGTCCTGAAACTAGACTGTGGTGATGGTTGCACAACTCTGTAATTTACTAAATATCACTGAATTTAGCGTGCTTATAGCGGGTGGTTTTTATGGTACATAAATTATACATAAATTGGGGCTCAGCCCGTCTGGTTTCCCAGATGACCTAATAAATTTATAATCCCTTACCAAAAAAAATTTTTTTTAATAAATAATAATAAAAATTTTAAAAATGTGAAGGGGGGCAGGGAAGGGATCGATCCCCTCTCATGGCCAGAGACGTGGTGGGAGGGTAGACAGTCACTCTCGATTGCCTATCTGCTCTTTGCCAGTCACGACCTCGTTTCATCTCTCCGGAGCCTGGACAGGTAGGTTTTATTGTTCCAGCGCGTAGATGAGGAGACGGAGGCCCAGCAGAGTTACTCACAGTCCCAGTATTGGCGGGCTTGGGCGATGAATCGGGCCTTTTAGGCCTTCGCACTCACATACCACTTGCGGCCTCTCTAGAAAGTGAAAATTCAAGAGGCCAAAATATTTAAGCATGTATTTTATAGAGGCCGATATGCTCCGACTCCACTCTCCTTGGGAAGGGGTTGGGGGTGGGGGAGAGGGACAGGGACAGTCACTCAGGTGCAAGGACACTCCTCCCAGCTCAGAGACAAGTTCCCCCTCTTCGTCTTTGGACCCTTGAGCCACCTCAAACAGCCGGGAAGCTCCAGCTGGTACCCTCCCACGAAACTGGTCTCCGAGCCCAGCGTGCACTCTCCTGCTGCTCCCCCAGCCCACGCAGCTTCTCTCCGGAGTCCCGGTTCCCCCACCCAGGGCATCAGGAGCTCCGGACATTTGATTTGGGAAAGGAAGTGTAGAATCCGGAAGCGGTGAGGGATAGCAGCAGCTGCCTGCATCGGACTGATCCTGGGGCCCGACCGAGATCACGAATTCGCCGGGACCCACCGCAGGGCAGAAACTGCTGTTCTGGGAGCCACGTGGAAGTTACCACCCCTGGCTGTTGATGACGTGTAAGAGGCAGGGCCAATATTTTGGGATTTTGGTTTTGGCCAAATTCCCTGGGCTTGGCTGCAAGGGAACTGCCTTCCTGGAAGGAGGTGAAACAGTCCCTTTTGTCACAAGGTCTGCAAAGTCTGCATGGGCTTTCCCATAGCATTTGGTATCTGTTAATGCCATTGCTGTCGGCTGACTGGAGCCAACTCGATCTGTCACCGTTGCCTTCATTGACTAGAAGTGGGCGGTCTCCGGTAGGTCAAGGTGGATGAGGGCTGTAGATGTCGCAACAGCCAGCTGCCAGGTGTAGCTCACAATGGAAGAAACGCTCTGCTCCACCAGACCTATTAGGAAGTTACGGTAATTAACAGAGCGTGGTGTGGGCACACGGATAGGTAAGCCAATGGAGCAAAATGGAGAACCCAGCTCAGCTGGTGTGGTTCAGTGGTTGGGCATCCACCTATGAACCAGAAGGTATGGGCGTGCGGGTGGCAGCCGATCCATGATTCTCTCATCATTGATGTTTCTCTCTCTCCCTCCCTCCCCCTTCCTCTCTAAAAATAAAAATAAAAAAATAATGTGTTGTGTGTTTTGTTTTTTTTAAATATATATTTTATTGATTTTTTATAGAGAGGAAGGGAGAGAGATAGAGAGTTAGAAACATCGATGAGAGAGAAACATCGATCAGCCGCCTCCTGTACATCTCCTACTGGGGATATGCCCGCAACCCAGGTATATGCCCTTGGCCGGAATCAAACCTGGGACCTCTCAGTCCGCAGGCCGACGCTCTATCCACTGAGCCAAACCGGTTTCGGCGTGTTGTGTTTTTTTTAAAAAAAAAAAGGAGAACCCAGAGAGAGCCCCATGTGTGTTTGGACACTGATACTGACCAAGGCAGCCTCGCAGTCACTGAGGAGAGGTCGGGCGCCTTAGCAAGTGGGCCTCCACATGAGAGAAAACAAAACAAAGAACTAACCTCTCCCTCACCCACACACGTAATTCCAAGGAAATGAAAGGCCTGCCTGTGAGAGGCAGTGCCATAAACGGTTCTGAAGGAGTGAAGTAGGGAGATGGCTTCATAACCTCTAGGTACAGAAGGATTCCTAAAGACACAAAAGGCACCCACCACAAAATGATTGACTTCCGTGACTCCATTAAATTTAAGAACCTCTGTTCATCCAAAAGCCATGAGAACAAGACTCGGCCAGGTCCTGCCGCACCTGCAAGCATTTATCCTCCAGCAGCAACCTGAACAGCCCCTCCGGCGGTTCTGTAAGCACGCGACCTAGCCGCTGCCCATCTGACGCCGCTTCGCATGGACGTTTCCTGGCGACGGACGCAGTGATACGCTTGTGGCAGGATCAGGGAATCCTGACCGAGGTCCGGCAGGGAGACCTCAAGCAGAGGCAGAACTCGGAGGATTCGGGGTCCTAGACCCGGGGCAGCAGCCTGCGGGGCGTGTGCTGCTGGGCTCGCCACGTTCTGGTCCTGCCAGGGCCAGAGCATGAGAAGAGTTCCAGAACACCCCTCCTTCGCCAGTGAAGAAAATCACTTCTCACAGCTGAGATGCTGGTGGAGGAAGGCTCTGAAGGAGACTTTTCCGAAGTGAGGACTTGTGGTGAGAGTCTTACTTGCTAACGTGCTCATTCCCCATGAGGGGACTGCAGCATTAACTAGCCATCACTGGAGTGCAGCTTAAAGCTCACACGCTCACACACACACACACACACACACACACACGATTGTATGCCCATGCCTTAGTATTTTGATGATTTTTTTTCTAATTTCAGAAAGAGGAAGGGAGAGGGAGAGAGAGATAGAAACATCAGTATGAGAGAAAATCATTGATTGGCAGTGCCTCCTGCACTCCCCACACTGGGAATCAAAAACGACTGACCACGCCGGTCAGGCTGTCATAATATTTTAAAGTAAACTATAGCC